AAGATCAATTCACAACATGGGTAGGTTAGACTAGAAATCAAAGCAGTTACTTCGGTAACCAGACGCTGGAAGCGATCTGGGAACGACGAGGCTGATACCGAATCTAACTAGATTCCCATCCGAATCACCAAAAGGTTAGAACGTCACATTTGGTGCCGCGACCAGTACCAAGCCAGGTGGTCGTCACAAGACAGGATAGCACGACTGACGCAGACAGGCGGACGTCACATTTGGCGCGGCGACACCGGGGGGGGGCGTCCCAGAAGGAAGGCTCACCTGCACAATGTACATCAAGAACAATTTCGAACCATCCGTGTCAGTTATCACCCTCAGCAAGATGTTCGATTACTTTCCCTGTTAATTTCCTTCATAGAGCATGTATGAAACATGATTGGGTGACACCTGAATTGTTCAATTTCACTAAGGCGCCTCATGCAAGGTGGAGGGTTAATAAATGTTGGGATTAGAATTTTTTATCAATATGCAATAAATGGATATGGGTTTTAATAAGCCTGGGGACAGGGCGGAACATTTTCTGAAGGAAAAAGTCCCTCCGATTCTACTGGATACATAAGAGAGTAGCCTACGTCAATTGCTGTATTGTATTTATGTTATACTACCTATTCTATGGTAAATAGACTCTCCAACAGATAATAAGTAGTAGTAGTAGCAGTTGCCAGTGAGCTCAGTGGAGCTGAGTAAGTCAGTCGATGTCGGACATTAGCGTATGAGCCCCACAACTAGATAGCTGCGTCATTAACTCTTATTTCAAGTTCCTAACGTTTTGTATGTCGGACCTTTTTAGGACCGACTTAGTGAAGTACAAGTCTCCATTGTGAGAAACTACTTTACAACAATTTACCAGGTGCATCGCAGAAAGGTATCTATTTTATATATATATATATATAAAATACAACATGTATTCATCTAATTACTGATATACACCTTATTTTGTAACATTTGCACGTATTGATTTGTATTTATATGAATCCAGTACTCAGAAATTAAAGCAAATATTACTGACAACATGACTATTATATGTGTATTTTAAATGAGCTGCGGGAAATGGATAGCGGTTCGGAATGAGGAATCGGAGATCCGAGTTCGAATTCCAGTTGAATCCATTACATTCATTTATGTGCTAATACCCTTGGGAAATGTGAGTCCTCTTCTTCTACCCACCAGCTATGGGTAATTAGCAGGACAGACCGTGTTCTATAGTCATATACCGCAGAAAAGAAATTGCAACCTACTTCGGGAAAAATCTGCCTCGTTTGCCATGTATCGAAAGATACATGATCGTTTAAGCGTGTCTCACTCATGGCACATAACTGACTGATTGTAAATTATGATGAAAAGAATGACTAAGGGTGATTTTAAGCTTAGCTTAGAGGTGTTACAAGGCCGAAAGTATGGGGCATTTAGTGAGGAACGTACTTGCTATTCAGTCGTAATTGATCTAGTTAGGCAGTCTTACTAACTATTACACCAGGTCGATGTTAGATGTGTCACAAGGCCGAAAATATATAGCACCAAGCGAGGATCGAAATTACCACTCAGTTGCAATTGATCTAGCGAGACAAACTTGCTAACCATGACACCACGATGAAATGTTGATTCGCTCAGCATAGCTCAGACATGATACAATAATACAAGACAGAAATCATGGGGAACATTGCGGGGATCGAACTCACCATTCAGTCGTAATTGATCTAGCGAGACAAGCTTGCTAACTATTATTGCACGTCGAAGAACTCACAGAGTTGGTAATGGTTAGAAAGCTTTTGTGAAATAAAAGCATTATTATATGTACAAATAATTGGTATGCGTTATATTCGTACGTAAAGAGTTTGGAAAAACAGGAAATAACACTTAATGAAGGTCTAAATAAGGAAGGTTTAAGTAGTGGCCGATGTGAGCGGCCATTTGTCAAGGGTTCGATAGAAATAGGAGTAAATTTTCTTTCTTAATTCGCACAGTATAATGGCAATGCTTTTATCATACACTTGGCATCGTCACTATCTTAGAACAATTTATAGATATCTTTTAAAGAAAAATATAGCTTACAAAGGAAAACACATTTTGAGAGATTAAGTGAAAAATTTTCAACTTAAGATATATATGAAAAAAAAATTTTACATCACGAAATTTCTAGGATCCAGTAATGAAAATATTTTTTCTTCAATTACTCTGCATTTGGAAATAAAGAAAGTTGCGCTATCGTATTTTTACGACGAGAGCGGCGATGTCGAATTCGTTTTGAGAGAATAGAATTTATCCGGATTCAGATGCGCAATTAAGTTTTTCAATCTTGGGCAAATTTTAGATTCTTTTTGCTCACATTATTTCTGTAAACAAGACGAATAAAAAGAAGGAACAGAACGAAATAAAATTCAACTACACATCGTATGTCTTCTCTTATCAATCCACAAGAAAAATTATAAAATAGAAATGAAATGTTCTCACACAGTTGCTCGCAAAGATAAACATTGATACGAGTCTTTTAAGAGCAAACAAATATATAAAAATGCATTTTTCTCCTTTTTGGCTATTTTTTTAATCATTACTAGACTACCCGTCAGCCGTTGGGTCACCGGTGGTTCAGGTTATGAAACATTTTAAGAACGTTTAAATAAAAATACTTACTGTATAAACAACTCGTATTTTTTAAATCTTATACAATATTCTTTAAATCAGATTAAATTAAAGAATATTTATAATATGCCAAAAATATTTTATATCATAAGCAGATATACCCGGCGTTGCTCGTGTTCTTAATCATAGCGATGCTTGTAAGGAGAAACGTAAAAAGGGCTGTTTACTGATTGTAAAATTTAAAATAGTGTTAGCTCTGAAAGTTTAACAGTTACATTGTGACGGCCCTAAAAAGGCTGGAGTACATTCCCTGGGTGTGTAACAATCAAACAGTAGTAGCTCTAAAAAGGCTGGGATATGTTCCTTTAGAGTGTTACAGTTAAAAATGTTAGCCTTAAAAAGGGCTTTTTTTCGTTTATGCACGGCAAGAGATGGTAGGATACTGGTGACATGGCAACGGCTTCTAGTGAAATGGACGCGGAATCTAATGCAACAAAAGAGAAATACACAGTTAGTAAGAGTTAAACAAAGGAAAAAATACATGAAGTGCATCACTCACATAAATCATGAGAGGAAACAGGGGCAAACCGGAAGAGATGAAGTGTTACAGAATTTGTGACTACGGTAGACATCTGAAGAGCGTACAACACTTCTCTGTAGACAACATTTTTAGTTATTTCATTTGAAGTGAAAGCGAATAAACATATTTTGCTTACCACTCTAGAAGAACCAACATATGGCTGTCCATGGAAAAGCATGACACGCCTAAATATAGACCCCCCTCTATGGAGAGCGTTTGTACTTGAGACTTCTTGACCGAGATCGCGTTGCAAAGTCTTAGTAGAAATTGAAATCTGCGCAGAGCAAAGGGGATTTACGCAACTTATGGAGTTAGAATTATCCTGGGTATGAATACATCCTCTCCCACATCACATCCTGTGAGAATAGTACCTCAATAATGTGGCAGCAGTTTGTTAACCACAAGGCGGGTTCCATTGCAGATTCTTGGAGGTTCCAGGTTTCTCAGTAACATTACTAGAGCCCCGATTTTGAGGCGCAATGTATGGGCCGGTAGTCAGGAGGGGTTTAAAGTGTTCAGAAATTGTACTGGATAGTGAACCTCCACTTGTGGGTCGGCAACGGTGACTTGTAGGTTTCAAGGTTTCCTGGTAGGCATTTCAGCAGTTCTTCATTGATTTTGGCAACACTGGTGTTTTTAGGAGCCAATATTGCTCTATCGCAGAACCAACTGGGGTTTCCAAAATACACACACACAGACATTTTCTGTTTTATAAATATAGAAGACAACAGTTAAGCTGTATATTAAACACAACAGTTAATCTACTTACATGTACCTCATATACATATCCAGTAGCTCATTTTACTGTCAGTAGACATTTTTGAATTTAGTAAGGTCGAAGAAGATCACAGTTTAATTATTTATGTTATTAAATACAACACTCACTCTACTTACAAGTAGTAGAAATTACTACTCATCCGTCTTGTACGTTGTTTTTTGCTTTACCTTTCGCTTCTGTCAACCAATAAAACCTTACGATTTGCGTAAGAACAGACAAACCCAGAAAAAAAGATTATTTAAGATTATTAAATATATTTGTTATTCTCGTAGAAATACTACAATCTCTCATTCTTTTAATCATTTCACCGCAAGAAAGATGGTAATGCCACTATGACGCATGGAGGTTATTTGGATTGAACCGAAATTATAGTGAATAGAAGTAAAGAGAAATCACAGTAAAAGAACAGGGTTCAGGAAAACAGAAGATTGCGATTAACGTTGCATGTAAATCGTTGAAGATTGTAAGCGGCAAGGAATCATGAAATCGGAAGGGAATTCTACAGGTGAGAACTGCAAGTATACCAGTGACGCTAATACATTATTATCGTTAGAAGTTACATGAAATCGGATATTGAATTAATCTTGTATTTAAAATGGGGCTCAAATATCATGTCACTTCTAATGCCTTTTCATATTATATTTACTTTCTTATGAACTGTCGGATTCTCATCCATATTCCTTCATTTGGATCTGAAGTGTTTGCTTCGTTAGTACTACTGCTCTGTCTTAGTTTAATTTCTAGAGTCATTGAGCACTTTAGGTTTTTTGTTTGCAAGGTATCTGCCTTTTGTCTTCCTTTTGTTTTTCTCTGCGTTTGCCATTTTTATTTTTTGCGGGGGGACTTCTTTTTCCTTTTCTTTTTTCTTTTCATTTTCTTTTCGTTTTTCAGACATTGTGTTGACAGGGTTGTTCCCTGAAGCTTTAACAATAGCTCAATTTGTTTATGTATATCAGAATATGATATACAAACCATATATCAGATTAATAGTGGGTCACTGAATAAAAAAATGAAAAATTCTGTTACCCGTTTTTCCTTCTTTCGAAGTATTTCTTTCAATTCGTCATTCATTATCTATCTATCTATCTATCTATCTATCTATCTATCTATCTATCTATCTATCTCATCTTCTTCATTATGTATGTATGTATGTATGTATCTATGTGCTCGTGTGCGCGTGTGCGAAAAATAGTTTTGATAATTTGAAATAGTAATAGGATTTTTTCTGAAGCTATACATTATTACTTCATTGATATTCCAGTCTATTCGAATTGTCATAATATATTATTATAAATAATAACATGATCTGTCTGAAAATTGTATGTAGCCTGTCAACGCAGCTTTCTGTACGTTGTTCGCTAACCCTTCGCTTTATTCAGGCGTAGAATAGAGGTCGAACGAGGGTTCAGATATCTATTTTCTATAGCCTTGCCATCCCATTCTGCATTTCTTTGTATTTCATTCTCTTACGTATGGATCAGCTGATTTAGTTGTGGTGATTTTGCCTTTCGAAAGGACAAACGATGTTGGTAACTTTGGAATTTCAAGACAAGCAAGTCTTTCTCCTGAAATAAAAGGAAAGCTCTATTCTTTTCCAAATGTATTCACAACATTAATATATTTGTTCATGGTCATAAATATTTATTTGTTCGTTCTTCTGTTTAAAAATGCATTCTTTTCCATGTTGATATTTTTTTGAAATTTTCTTTTGTTTGCGAGGAATTCTTCAACGAATTATTCTTTTTCTTGATTTTGTTTTTCTCGCCATTATTTCTTTTTTCTCTTTCCTGTTTCTCTCGTTTTTTTTTCTTGTTTCATTTGTTTCTTTTTCTCTTTCGTCTTTTTTTATTTCCTTGACTTTCCATTATATTCTTTCTCACTTTTCTCATTCTATCATTTTTTTTCTTCCTTCTTAATTTTCCTCAATAACTTTTTTTTATCTCCTTCTTCCTCTCTTTACTTTCATCTTTCTCTCTTTATTTCCCGCTTTTCATTCATCCATATTTCTATCTTTCCTTTTCTCTTCATTATTTTCTCTTTAGTTGGCATCTTTTAATATTCATCCTCACTTTCCTTCACTTTTTAGTTTTTAAATTTTTGTTTCCGTTTTTTTATTCAACTCCTTTTCTGTTTTTTTTCTTCTTTGTGTGTTTTCCCTTCTCCTCTCTTTTATTCTTCTATCTATTTACTTTCCTGTTACCCTCTTTATACTACTTTTCTGTTTTCTTTCTTCTTTCATTTACTTCTCACTCTTTACTCTCTTCTTCTTTGCTAATTTCTATTTCTCTTTTTTCCATATTTCTCTTTTTATGTTCACTACTTTTAATTTTATTTTACTTTTAAAGGGACCACCCAATATGTGAGTTACATAATTCAATAAGTTATTCTAATGTTGCATATTGTTCTTTTTCGACTTTATCTCTTTTCACTACTTTATAAACATATTTATTTATTCCTCAAGAAAGACACTGAATATAATATCAGCCATAGTTTTTCGAGCTTTTTAAAATTGTTAAAAAAAAAACAATAGTTTTATTTAATATCTACATTATTCTCTATTTTTATTCATATTTTGAAAAAGTAGTCGGATTAATTTTTACGTATTTCTTATCATTTTTGTTAACTTCGTTGCTCATAACCATTATGTTACGCCATCTTTGGCTAACTTTCTCAGCTGACAAGAAGTATAAAGACTATATTAAACCCATTGATAGATCAGCTGCTAAGAGAGTTGTTTCACAGTGTCGGGCGAGACAATCTTTCTCTCCAGAATCTCTCTTACATAGTGATTTTCCAAGCGTAGCTTAGATGTGGCACAAGGCCGAAATTAGGGGGGTACCCAGTGATAATCGAACTCACTACTCGTAGTCGTAATTGTTCTAGCGAGACAAGCTTGCTGACCATTGCCCCACCACGAGGCACCCAAATCTCTCTTACATATCTATAAATCTACCATTCGTCTATGTTTAGATTATTGTTGCCACATATGGTCCGGTGCCCCTGCTATTTACCTTAAGCTCCTTGATAAAATCCAAAGAAGAATCAGCAATATTATAGGTCCTGATCTGGCGGCTCTGCTCGGCTTCAGTCACTTTCCTACCGCTGTAAGATTGCCTCCCTGTGTTTTTTCTATAAATACTTTCATGGTTATTGTTCGCTATGATACCTAGACTTTTTTTTTAATTTAAGTGCAGTACTTGTGTAGCGTCAAGATCTCATTAATTTAAGATGAGCCGGTTAGATGTAGCTGTAAATTCTATACTAACAGTTTCTTTTCTCGCACTTTCCGTTTGTGGAACTGCCTTCCTGTTCCATGCTTTGCAGCCAATTTTAATTTGCAAAAAAATTAAATGCAACATCAATCGCTATCTATTGTCCTCCTGATTACTTTTTTTTTCTTCCCGTTCATTATTAATGTTTCTGTTCATAATTCTTCTACACTCAGTGACCCCGCGTGTCTTAGTGGCTTTTCTCGCTCTCATGGTACGAAACCGGTTAAAAAAATAACACAGTTATTCTTTCTATTTTTCTATTAGAAAAGAACACTTGCTACTGGAGATAAAGGCTCCTCGATTAACAAGGGAGATAATTCTTTGTACAACTTCTTTACTTTTTACGCTAATTCCCATTGTGTTTACGTTTGTTTTCATCCTGACTTCTTTCGCCTTGTTTCTATTTTTCTATTTTTATTTTCCGAAAACTGATCGATTCCAAAGATGGTAATTTAGTTTGATAGCATCACCTACAATTAGTTTTTCTTTAGAAAAAGGGAAGATAAATTCTCTATTTAGAACGTTATCATTTCAAATATACGACGTCAAAGAGAAAGCTAATGCCTTCATATGTAATTCCTTTGATCAAATTTGGAAACATCGAACCAGAATTGCAAATTTGTGTGGAGAAGATGCCATGTTTCTATGCTTCCGGTTCTATGCGGAAGTACATCGACAAACTGATGATTTTAAAAACATTTATTTTACACAACAAATATGTATTTAAATAAAACTTCTTCCATGACAATGGCCTTAATTCAATGGTGAATATGAATCCCATAGATCGATCCTTATTCCAGACTAAATTTCAGTAAAATAGCTGCGTATCAGGCTATGAAGTTACTGATCTGTCCTCGTATCTGTGAGTATACATGATAGTATAATCTATTATCTCTCTTTCTCATCACACACACACACACACACACACACTCTCTCTTTCTCTCTCTCCCTCTCACACACACACACATACATATATATATATAAATGATAAAATATGGTTTTAAGGTATGCTATATTTATAGGTTAAAGTGCTCAATATCATATATAAAAGTGGACACTGAGGTCAACACCTATGAAGATGGCCTGAATATGCATTTAAGCATGGAACAGACTGTCGCCGCTGGACCATCTATCTATCTATATATATATATATATATATATATATATATATATATATATATATATATATATATAAAAAATTTGACAAATGGAAAACGTTTCATTGAAAGTAGATTTTTAAAAACTTTTGTTGCCATTTTATATCTCATTTTAAATGCACGCGCGCACACACACACAATGACGCTTGCGTTGTATTGTATCATCAGATTACACTAAAAATAGAATTTTGGTGCTATATCTGTGTTAGCGCTTTGCAATTCTCATTTTTCACCCTTCAAAGGTTTCAGAACCGTTTACGTGCTCTAGTGGCTAAGTACTTATTTTGCCCTCTTCAACTTCTTTCTCACAGACACGGGGTTGTTCCGTTATCCTTATTTCAATGGCAAACATTTAAATAAGCTCAATTCTTAAGCTTTCCATTTCAGGTCTTTGCAACCATGGAGTCGAATCCCCTTAATTTCCCCCACGTTCTAATTGTATGAAAAGGTTTCAGTTAAGCAGACGTTCCCCAAGCCCCAAGAATGGTCTCCAGTACAACAGACTTCGGCAGACTTCACATTATACTGCAATTTTGACTTCTTCACTCAAGGGTCAATCATCATCTTTACCTTCATAATCTTTACTTCCTAACATCTTTTCTTCTATCATATCACACAACTCATTCAACATCATCATTTTGATTGTAACCCTCTACCTCGACAGGCTCTAGTGTCATGTATTACGTGAAACTGTAATTATAGTGTTCGATATCAAAAGATGGAAAATTATTATTATTATTAATAATAATAATGAAGAAGAAGATGATGATGATTGTTTATTTTATTCAGTATCATCAGCATCATCATCATGAATGAAATAAATTTGTTTACATAGTTGTCGAGAACATCTAATCTGATTTTCATGGATATATTCTTCAGGAAATTTGGTGGTGAACACTGAAGATTGAATATTATTTCATGAAACTTCGATTAGAGATTTAGTTTATTATTATTATTATTATTATTATTATTATTATTATTATTATTTCCTTTGATTTCTATTGTATACACATTTACTTCCAGGTTCCAATCAAAGATCTTAGATCAGAAATGCCTTCATGACATTTTCCACTGACCATTTTTATAAAAAAAAAACAAGAAGAAAGAAACCCCGAAGACCATACACATTTTGCATAGAGAAAGTTCTTCATAACGTGTGAGCTGTACTTGTGATTACAATGTTTTGTATTCCTTTAAGGCATAAGTGATCAGGAATCCCCTCAATGATTCTATCGGAATCTTTTCCAATAAACCCGAGAGAACACAAGTTACAACTGTAACTATTGATGTCCTCATATGTCACATTTTTGAGATTTTCATTTCAAGATCCTTGTATTTTGATAGTTTTTTAAAGATCTCCAAAGATACATTACAATCAGCCATTATTATTATTATTATTATTATTATTATTATTATTATTATTATTATTATTCCTATACAGGTTATAAAGTAACATTGTCAGAATATCTGTATATAAGGCAATGTATATATCTGCATGTATTTCAATATATGTATTTACGTGTGTGTATAATGGATACGGTACGCTACACACACGTACACACACACACACACACACACACACACACACACACACACACACATATATATATATATATATATATATATATATATATATATAAAATTATTCGAATTGATTAGTACGTCTGATACCGAATTCTGTAATTGATGTTGGCTTCATCATCGCTAACAAGAAACGTTCTGGCAACGTTGCAGTTAAATTATATTTTGGTTGGGGGATATGTGACTATGTGACGACTTTACTGTAACATTGCAATAAACAGTTTTCCCAATCCCAATCAGACCGCTCATTCCCAACGATCTCACCTAACCCTGCGAAGTGATGTAACAGAAAAGTTCCGCGCTGGTCAAATAGCATCAAAATACTTTTTCTTCATTTAACAATATGTATAGTAGATATAACATTTCTTTTTGTATTTTTAATTGGAAATTTAAATGATGGATCCAAGTTTTTCCTAGAATTTATTGTCAATTTTCTATTATGGTTTGATTTTGCTTGGTTTTGTTTATCGGCGTATCAACATCTATGGGTTACTTAATGTCGAAATCTAAATATTTTGAACATAATTTTATGCCTTCAACTAAATATGTTTTTGAACGCAATTTGTATGTCTTCAACTACAGATATTTTTTATGTATTTTTATACTTTCAGGGTAAACGTATGCATAGATGATAAAGGAACATTGAATCTGAAGGGATATGGAATATTGTCTTTATTTATTTTAGAAGACTTAAGTTGCGTCTTTCAATAATTCCAATTTTCTTAAGTAGTGATGGACTGCAGAATTGCATGCAGAAATTTAGGCGCCCAAATTCGTTAGGCTTAGCTTACCTTTTGATATTGCATAACCTCTTCATAGACATTAAAATATCAGGAAAATGATTCCTTACATCTTTTCCGGTTTCGGATTAGAAACTACCATTGGGTAAAATCTATTTAAAATTATATTTCTACATTAGATAATCCTTCTGTTCTAATGGTAATGATGAGATTAACTATTTCTATACAGGAAACATTCAGCATTCAATGACTAAAGAGTTAACGTTCCTGTCGGTTGAAATTTATAAGCTCTTTCTCTTCAAATAGTTTCTCAGCAAAAAATTGCTATCGTTATACTTTCTAGTATGGATGTTTCTTTACTAACCTTTTGTTTATGCTACTGTGGAAAGCTGACACATAGATTATATTACTATTTATCCTTATACCTGCTATTCATTCTTGTTTTGTTTGGAATATTATCTTTATTTATCTTAGAAGACTTAAGAGTTAATATTGTGTCTTTCAATTGAATGATCTTTCTTAAGTAGTGATGGAATGGTTTAAGGAGCCAAACACTTCAAACCTATCTTCTGGATTACTCTAAGTAAATTGCA